TGGGGGGCGGGGCCGGCCGGGCCCTCCCCTTTGTCTAGCCAGCTCTGGGGCGCAGGCGCGCAGGCCCCGTCGCCCGGCCCCGCCCCGCGCGCCGCGCGTCCTCCGGCGCGTGTGGGCCCTTCCGCCCCGCCCTGGCCCGACGCGCCCACTGCGCCGGCAGGGGAGGGGTCGGGTGAGCCGCAGTCCTGCCCCCGGCCGCCCGCGGCGGCCCCGCGGGGACACGGCGAGCCCCGTGGTGCTCTCGCAGTGCCTGCCGTCTCGGCGGCCGCGGGGAGCGTCGCGCCTCGCCGGGAGCCGTGGCGGCGAGGCCGGTGGTGCGCGGGAGCCGCCTCCCCCCGTGCGCGGCCCGCGGCGTGGTACAGCCCGCTGCTTCATTTCCCGTGCGCGGCCTGGCTGCCGCTTCCTTTCCCCCGCAGTCCCGGGCCACGAGCGCTCCTCGCTGGTCGCCGGGTCCTTGGCAGGCGTGAGTACCGCAGCCCGCTCCCGGAGGGGCCGCACGCGCCGCGGAGACCCCAGGGGCCGGGGCGGGGGTGCGGCGGGCGCCCGGGGTGCGCCCGTGGCTCTGCGGCGTCCGTGCGGGCAGAGGGCGCAGGGGGGCGGGGCGCGCGGGCCACGTGGCCGGGCGACCCTGCCGCAGGCCCCCGGCCCCGCAGTGACGCCGGCGTGGGGGACAGCGGCCGCGGGATGGGGGGCAGGAGCCCCTCCTTTGTCCAGCGCGCGCTCGTCGGGTACCTGCCGCGCTCCGGTCCGGGGCCTGGGGGGTCAGGGTCGGCCCAACCCTCGTGGAACCCTGGCGGTTCGTGGACGCGGCAGAGAGCAAGGACGCGTCTGCTGAGAGACTTGGAAGAAACGCGCAGGGCTCTTGGAACGGCTTGGAGCCATGACTTGGATAAGGTGGCCCCGGCAGCAGGCGCCGTGGAAGCCAGTGTCTGAAGGGGTGTGGGCGATTCCTCCCCGAGACGGGGGCACTGTGAGTGCGGGGCAGAGGGAAGGGCTTCTCCTGGAGCCATCGAGCTGGGGGGCTGGTGCGGTGGAGGCTGAGTGTCAAGGTTCCCAGAAGGAAGTGCACCCAGAGCAAGGGAAGTCGTTGGCTTAACTTGGTGGGGGCGGGTTCTGGGTTCCCGCCCCAGGGGGGAGCACCGCTTCAGTTGACCCTGGCCTGCGGCTGGGAGGGACACGTCTTAGGAGGCCTCTGCTGGAGCGTTTCTGACACCCCGACCTTTTCTGGGTACCCTGAGCCTGTAAGTGTGCTGGCTCACAGGGGACCTGGTGCTTCCTGAACCTTCCGGGCCCAGCCCTGTGGATGGCATCGTCTTTCGGAGTGACTGACACATAAGCCTGTCACCGCTGTAGGACAGTCCGTGTTCTGGGCCTCCTGCCAGACCTGGGGCGTGCCCTCCAGGCCACCCTTTTCTTCTCTGGAGTGGGGCTTGCTGTGAGGTTCACCGCCCGGGGAGAGCCCTTGATGGTCCAGAGACAGCTGCCCTCTGGAGGGGCTGGTGCTGGGCCACGTCCGCAGCATTGCTCTTGGGGAGCACGGTGAGGGTACCAGGGATCAGCACAGGTGGTCAAATGGGCTTGACCCTCGTTTTTGTGACAGTAGCTTTCTCCATGATTTTTTTTTTTTTTTTGAAGATTAACCAAGAAATTATTTTTGGTATCTGGTGCACTGTATTTTTCGGGGACTGCAGAAATGCTGGCAAGGGTGTGTGTTGAGCCCTAGCCCTGTGCTCACAGTGTAAGAGGACATGTAGGTGCTCGGAGTAGGTGGTCACGTGGTGCTGGTGTGGCGTAAGACCTGGGTCCCCAGTTCTTCCCCTCCCTAACTGGGGCTTCCCTTCCCCACTCCCTCCATCCACTGTGTGGGAGGCTTGGGGATGCACACAGGGACTCGAGTGTTTACTGGAAGGTTGGGGAAGCATGTGTGGTACTGGGGTCACCCCGAGGGAAGGCGGTGCAGGGTCCAGGCTGAGTAGCGTAGACCGGGCTCTGGCAGTTGGGACAGAATAGAATGGACAGACTGTGGCATTAGAGGTACGGACGTTGTTGTGCCTGCCTGGGGTGGTGTGGGCAGCCGCGGCGGGAGCCCTGAGTCTGATGGCATGGGGGGCCCCTTTTCTGCCAGCGGGACAGGTTGATGTTTCCGAGTGGGGCTTGGGGTTCCCCCGGCACAAGGAGGCATTCCTGCCTTGCGCAGCTAGCCTCTGTGTGGACCGGTGCCGACCCGGGCAGCTTCTGCTCTGTGCGGCTGTTCTTGTGGGTTCGGACGTGCCAGGTGCTCGTCACTGTGCCTCAGACACGGGAGGTGCCACGGAACGCTCTGTGGTGAAGCGCTGGTCTGACCCTGGGGGCCCAGAGGAGACGAGGTGGCCTGCAGACAGCCCCGCCCCATGCCCCGTGGTCCTCCTGTTGGGTCCCACTTCCCCTGGAAGATGGGCTCTTTGAGCCCTGGGTGGACGGTTGGGGAGCTCTTCCGTGTGTGACTGATGGGATGGTGTCCAGGGGATGGGAGAGTGGTGTAGAAGGCAGAGCCGGGGGAGGGGGCAGCCCTTCCCAGAAACCTTCCCTAGTCACCCAGGCTCTCAGAGGCACTGGCACCTGGGTGGGCCCAGCCATGGCAGGCCACATCGTCCCTTTCTTTGATGGCCCTCCAGCCAGGGGTGTCCTTTGGGGGTCTGCTGCCAGGTTCCCTTCCCACCTCTGAGAAGAGCTGTGCCTACCTACGCCTGGAGCATGGGTTCGAGTCCATGCGGTCCTGAGTGCGGATGGCGCCTGGCTGGGACGGTGGCCAAGGAGGGGCCCGTCTGTAGCCAGGATGAGCTCTGCTGCTGGCTGCTTTTCTTGACCCCAGCGGCTGGGTGGGGTGAGATCCCCCGGGGCCTCCTGCACCTCCAGCCCTTGGGGCCCCCTGGGCAGCTGAGAGGGACCACGCCCTCTGGGAGCAGTGCAGGTGGCCTGAGGCACCGGGGCTGGGCCTGAGTGGTGGCCACGCGGCTATATTGCCGGGCGGGTAAGTGGACAGGGAGACACTGGCAGTCCCGTCCACTTTCAGGAGCAGAGGGTGGGGACACTGCAGGGCCCTTCCTTCTCCGTGTTGGGTCTGGTGTTCTCGAGTCGTCCCGTGTCTCGGCCCGTTACTGGCGAGCCATTGCTGTGCCGTTGGGAGAGATGGTAGGAGGGGGCCCACCTGTTCCTAGGCAGCCTGGGGTCCCGCTGTGTGACCGGAGGCGTGTTTGGCTTCTCTGAGGCGTTCGTTCAGGCTCAGACTTGCTTTTCTCCTGCAAGAGACGGGTGTCCAGTTCCGCAGCTCTTCATGGAATTAGGGAGCTCTTGGAGGCGGGGGCGGAGGCTTCGGGGCCGGGCTCTTGCATCTGAGGGGGGCAGGGGGAGTACCTGCCGGCTGGGCCTCCAGCACCCCGTGGGGGTAGTTGGTCCCAACACTGGCTTCGCTGCCTCCGGGTGACACAGCCAGTGGGAGTGGCTCACTGCGGCCTGTGCTCCCGCAGGGTCGCTGACTGTCCTTGGGCCTGGCGCGCGCACACACATCCCAAGGGTCCCCGGAAGTCCCCGTCTGCCAGGGACCTGATGCTTTCGTGCCTCTGCATGTGAGGCAGAGTTCCTGCTGCAGAAAGGAGGCAGGTCTCCAGGGCTCTGGTGAGGGCTGCTGGGGGACCCCGGGGCAGGCCGGGTCTGGCGGTCTTGGCTCCTGAGCTGCCACCTTTGTTGGGTTTGGGGTGGGGCACAGGGTGTTTCTGGCCTGTTTTCCCACCTGGGATTGGGCGAAAGCCCCGTCCTGTGTGCACAACAGGAGGACGGTCTTGTTCACGCCTGGCATGACGCAGCACGGGCCCCGGGTCTGCGGCTGCTGAGGCCCGTGGACCGCGCGTGGCTGTCCTGCGTCGTGTCCAGCAGCCAGGTTTTGTGGTAGCACGACAGTGGGGCTGGGTCGGGGTCCCCTGTACAGCTCCAGGGGGCCACCGGGGTGCTGGCTGACCTCTCCGCAGGTTGGAACAGGTGGGAGGGTGCTCGGAAGGCGTCCCCCAGGGCCTGCCTGGGCTCCGGATAGCGGCAGTCCCGAGAGGTGCTCATTTCAAGGGGCAGCCGAGTGGGTGGACTCTGTCGCCTGCTGGGGTTTGGGTGGTGGGCGTGTCGGGTGCTCGACCTTAGTTCACCCCACCACACACCTCCGGCCTCCTTCCTCCACGCTCTGCAACGGCCTTGTGGCTTGCTTGTGCTGCCCTTTCTGACTGCGTCTAACCTTGCTGCTTTCTCTTCATGCCGTCCCAGGAGGCCCGAGTAAAAGTAAGTACCCCTGTCCCCTGCCGCGGCGTCCCCTCCGCCTCAGCCGGGGAGCCCCTGGTCCGCTTGTCACAGCATGTGGGGCCTGGCGGGCCTCCCTTTCCTTGTCTGCAACATGGAGGTGCTGGGTTTGCTGGAGCTGGGCTTTGGTCCTGTGGGGTAGGGTAGCGGCGGGGCTGCGTGTCTCCGGGATTCCCTGGACTGAGCCCGTTCCTGCCTTGGGGAGGGGGCACCCCCTGAGCAGGCCAGGAGTAGCTGGCCGGCTTCCGCCTCTGGGCAGAGTCTGCAGTGATGTTGGGAGACAGGGACAGCATTGAGGCTGATAGGGGCTGGCAGGGCCTCCACGCTGGGAGGCTCAGTCTGGTGGGTGTAGCTCGAGGGGTCCGGCCAGCCCAGCCCTGGGCTGTCCGGGTGAGGGTCTGCCAGGGGCTTGGTGCCAGAAAGGCTGAAGGGCAGACAAGCCCTGCCCGATTGGCCTGCGGTCTCCTCAGGGACAGTGGGTGATGTCACAATGCCTTGCCTCCTGGGCACCCGCTCCCGCCTCCCACCACTGCCTCTGCCACCAGCCTGGCCTTGGTGAGTACCACTGCCCGCCTGGGGAGGAAGGCGCGAGGCAGGGGTCAGAGCTCTGTCCACGCCTGGGGCTCTTGTGCCATCAGAGGCCCCCAGCATGTCCCTTCACAGTACAAGGGAGACTCTTCCCCAGATCCCGGTGACTGTGGGGCTTAGACAGCTGATGTGTCCCACTGGGTAATGAGAACCAGGTTTTGGTTTTGTTAGGAAAGGGATGTTGACCCCGTATAGATGGTGGGAACAGTTTGCTGTCCTCCCTGCGGAGCCCTCGTCTTCTGGAAATGAGGGCCCAGCACGTGGGTGCCCCCGCATAGGTCACTGCGTGACCCCACAGAAGCAGGGGACCCCACATCCTGAGGGGATGCCGGTCAGCCCCCGGGCAGAGTAGCTCCTGGGTGTTGGTCGGCTGGTGGGGGTCCTTCTGTTTTGGGGGAGCAGGGCCCGGAGTCAGATCTGTGGCCGGAAGGACTCTGCCACTTGCATCCATGCCTCTGGAAGCAGAGTGTGTGCTCAGACCACTAGGTGCGCCCTAAGAGCAGACCGGCTTCTGCGTCTTTCTGGCCTTGACCGCTGCTGGCCAGAGGCTGTGATGGTGGCAGTGGCTCCGAGCCGTGGTTCACGTGACCGTGGTCTCCAAACCGGAGGGAGCAGCATCTGTAGTGAGGAAGCTGAGGCCTGGTCCACCGTAGCAGATGGGACCCAGAGCCCCCAGCCTGCCTTCCATCGCCGGCCTGGGGAGGCGCCCCCGAGTCAGATGGCGCTGAAAGGAGGGGTGGGCGTCCTCACGACACCCTAGGGCCCAGAGAGGGTCAGGTGGCCTCCCCGAGCTGTAAGCACAGCCAGAGCGGTGGGCGGACGGCCGGCGGCTGCTGCTGACAGGGGGCCTGGTTCTTCCCCGGTGTGGCCCTGCCAGGACGGGCCCTCCGGCCTCCGCTCCGCTAGGAGCGTGTGCCTCCCCGGGGCAGGTTGGCCAGCCTCAGAGACCCCCAGAGCGACTCTGGAAACCAGAACCGGCAGTGCTGTGGGCACGTGGCCGAACGTAGCAAAATCAGAGGCCGTCCGGTGAGAAGTGTAGCTGAGCAGTGAGCGATTTTTCAGCACAAGTGTCTGTCTTGTGGAACGTGCTTGTCCTAAGAGCGATCTGTCGTTGTTTCTAGAATCACGTTGAGTGCGCGCACCCTGTGTGTCGTGCAGCAGCTCTCTGCAGAGGCTCTAGGAGAGGAGGTGTCTGTGGCCGAACGGGGAAACGGTGTTGTCTAGACCCCGTGCAGAGCCGGGTGCCTTAGCAAAGATGAGTTTTGCAGTGAAGGGAGCACAGACACGTGTCTGCTCTTTGCTTCCCTGAGTTTCCCGCGGGCTGGACTCTAGGTCCTTGCTAGCTACCGTATGGCACCCCCGTTGGGGAGCACCCCCAGCCCACCAGCCCCTCAAGTCAGGCTGAGGAGGGGGTGGGGCCGTCCTCCCGTGGCCCGCTGTGTTGCAACTGCCTTCTTGTGCTTGCTTTTTAACGCTGTGCGGAAGATGAGGAGCGGGAAGGCCTCCTGTGCCCTGGAGACGGTCTGGGAGGACAAGCAGAAGTATGGGGAAGCCGAGCGGCGTTTCTACGAGCAGGAGGCCACACGAGCCGCCGCCACCCAGCAGCTCCCGGCGGAGGGGCCAGCCGTGAACGGGCCAGGGCAGGAGGAGGCCAAGGACGCCGAGGAGGCAGGTGCCCCCGACAACAGCGGCACGAGTGACCCCAGGAAGAGCCTGGATGGAAAGAAGCCGCCGCAGAAGAAGAGGAAGCGCTCCCCCAAGAGCGGCCTGGGCCAGGCCGACCTGGCCTTGGTGGGCCTCTCCGCCGACCGCGTGTGGCTGGACAAGCCCGTGTTTGACCAGGCGGAGAGCTCCTACCGCCAGAAGCTGGCGGCCGCGGCCGCCCAGACAGCCCAGCCAGCCGCCCTGGGCCCCCGGGGCCCCTGCACGCACGGAAGCCAGGTGGCCTGCCACCACGTGACCTGGGGCGTCTGGGTCAACAAGTCCGCCTTTGACCAGGCCGAGCGGGCGTTTGTGGAATGGTCTCAGGCCCTGCTGCTGGCCGCTGAGGGGAGCGGCCGGCCGGGGGCTTCCGACACGGGCCAGCGGGCCGCCGCCCCCGACCGCCAGCCCAGCCCGCTGGCCGCCAGCCCAGCCCCACTGGGCAGCCTGCAGGCGCTGGTGCGGGAGGTGTGGCTAGAGAAGCCCCAGTACGATGCAGCGGAGAGGGGCTTCTACGAGGCCATGTTTGACGGCCACCCCCCGGGGAAGGTGCGTCTGCAGGAGCGGGGGGGCCCGGCCGAAGGGGCCCGGCGGGGCCGCAGAGACCGGCGGGGCCGAAATGCCACGGGAGGCAAGCGGGTCGGGCCTCGGCGGGTCGACGGGGAGGCCTCGCCTGCTGTGCCCTACGGGTACTTCCTGCACCGGGACGCCGAGGCCCCCTGGCTCAGCAAGCCCACCTATGACAGCGCGGAGAGCCGCCACCACGCTGCTGAGGCCCTCCGCATGGCCTGGCGCCTTGAGGCCGCGTCCCTGGCTCACCGACCCAGCGCCCGCTCGGGCCCGTCCGTGCCCAGCCTGAGACCCAAGTAGGAGAAACACGCCGTGTGGGTTCCTGGGCTGGGGCCCTGCCTACGCCTCTCCCCACCCCCGTCCCGGCACAGCCTCCCCAGCACTCCTGGACCCGGCCAAGTGGGATGCAGGAGCGGGTCAGGCAGGGGTGGTTCCTGGGGCCGTGAAGCAAAATCCTCCCAAGGTTTGGGGCTGTAGCAGGTAGGAGGGGGTGAGCACAGGGCTGAGTTCGTCTGGTGTAGGGTTTCCCTTAAGGGCAACTCCCAGAGGCCTTTCTGGCTGTCACAGGGCAGGGCAGGGGTGTGGAGAAAGCTCCCGGCCCAAACCCCACTGGGAAACACGTGGGAGTCGGCACGTACCCCCACCTCCCTCATCTGGAACCACCTCTGAGGGGAGGTGAGTGTGTCTGGGACACAAGCCTGCTGTCCTTGAGCACCCTGGGTCTGAAGGACACCCCTGGAAGAGACTTACTCGCCTCTAGCTTGGGGACCCAGGGCTTTCCCCAGGAGGGTTCCAAGTGGCACCAGCGGTGGTTCCTGGGTGCCTGGGCCTGGAGAAGGGCGGGGGTAGAGTCGGGCAGCCCAGCAGAGATGACCGGCTCCAAGGGAACGCTGCACGCGCAGCAGTGGGACCGCGTGGGGCGTGGGTGGCTGCGTGGGTCAGGCCTCTAGGGAAGCCGTGCCACCCTGGCCCCGTGTTCCCATTGGCAACCCCACATCTCCTCAGTGGGGTTGGATATGCTGTTGGACAGGGTGTGGGACCCCCTGTGTGGGAGTGTCCCCATCGGCAATGTGGGGGATCCTTGAGCTAAAACTCCAGGGGTCGGGGGAGGAGAGTCACGGGACCTGCTCCCTTGTGGTCACCATGGGCATACTTGATGAGGTCCAGTGATAGCCTGGGGCCTTGGCACAGAGAGTTGGTGAGATCGGGTCCATTTCTGTCACCCTGGGTCAGGAGTGGGAGGGGCCGTGCTCAGTGGAGGGAGGGCCCCAGGCAGGCCTGAAGAGAGCCGGGAGTTCTCAAGCTTCCTGGCCTCGAGCTCGGAGAGCGTCCCTCGTGTCTGTTGTTTTTTGCCATGTTAGCATTGAAAACAGAAACACTGGAAGTACTTTATTCGTTGAAAAATAAGTTTGTTACTTGTTACGGTTAACGACTCGCTGATTTTTCTGTGAGGATAGTTCGGCGAGCAGGGTGACCTAGTTTGACGTTCTCTGAAATTCTCTTTAGTGTGTTGCCTAACAGGAGGCAGCTGGATTCTCACACTGGCTTCTGCATTCAGTCTGTTGACATGAATTGTTTGATGGACATAATAAATTGAGCCTTGCACAGATGCGTGGTTGGAAAGGAGGGCCCTGGGGACCCCTGGAAGTTCCTCACCCCAGTTGGAGAGCCACTGGTTTTGGGGACAAGCCTGGGAACTGCCAGTTGAGAACCCAAGGGGTGGGGGCGGGGATGGTGTGTGTGAGGGGGCTGGTTACAGACTGGGTTCAGCCATGCCAAGACCACCTGTGCTCTGACCCAGACCCCTGGCCACCCTCCCCTTGGTATCTGGGCTGTTGGCGGGGTGCTCATGCGGGCCAGGCCTGGGGCCTTCGGGGATGCCCCTTTTCCTTCCAGTGGACTTAGTTTCTCCTCCCCTTTGTAGCAGGAAGATGGCTACAAACTTCCTAGTGCACGAGAAGATTTGGTTTGACAAGTTCAAATACGATGACGCAGAAAGAAAATTCTACGAGCAGATGAACGGGCCTGTGGCTGGCTCCTCGCGCCAGGTAGGGGTGGACTCGGAGCACGATGGGGGTTGGCCAGAGGCTGGGGTGGGGTCTTTGGAGGCGTGGCCCTGGAGAGGGCCTGCTTGAGGCGCGGGGTAGACCATTCCCCGCCACAGCTCAGAGCACGGGACACACTGGTACCGATCAGGACGGTGCAGGCCTGCGCTGGGCCTGCAGACCGGGCTCCCTTGGGCCTTGTTGTCCCGGCAGACGTTAGCTCCTTGCGCTCCTTGCCATTCTGCCAAACTTTCCTTCTGTGCCGCTCTTGCTGCCTCTCTGTAGGAGGCTTTGTCTCGTTCTTTTTTTTTTTTTTTTTTTTTTTTTTTAATTAAAATTGTTTTAATGGGGGAAAAAGAAAAAAGACTGGTTCTTTCTGCACTGTCTACAGGAGAACGGCGCCAGCGTGATCCTCCGAGACATTGCGAGAGCCAGAGAGAACATCCAGAAATCCCTGGCCGGGGTGAGTACCCGCGGGCCTGCCTGGCACTGTTGGCCTCATGCCCAGCGGCATGGCTGACCTTGGCTGACCTTGGCCCTGGCCCTGCCGCTGAGCATCAGGCCTTCAGAAACAAGTCAGGGCAAGGTGTGCAGTGCTGGGGGACGCCCATCCCCACAGGAGCCCTCCCCGCGGAGCCTCTGGGCTGCTTTCTGGAGGTTGCCCAGGCCTCCTCCCACCTTCACCCCGACTGCTGCTCGGGGCCACCCCTGGGCCCATGCCCGTGGCCTCCGGCACGCTCGCTCCACAGGCCGAGGCCTGGACACAGCTGCCTTGCTTGGCGCCCTGTGCGGGGAGGAGCCTGAGCAGTGCATCTGCCGCCCTTTCCTCTTGCTCCCTAGGC